ACAAGACCTAAAGATTGAATGGAATGGACCCATGAAACTATATTGTGACAACAAGTCAGCAATAAACATTGCACATAATCCAGTGCAACATGATAGAACGAAGCATGTCGAAGTAGACAGACATTTCATCAAGGAAAAATTGGATAGTGGGACAATATGTATACCATTTGTATCAACTGGAAATCAGCTGGCAGATGTTCTTACAAAAGGATTAAGTGGTTCTACATTGCAATCTATTATCGGCAAGTTGGGAATGAGTAACATCCACTCTCCAACTTGAGGGGGAGTGTCAGAACGAGCTGTACATGTGTTAATTAGTGGTATATTTTATAGTTAAATAGGATTAAAATCCCATAAATAGGATTTGATTAGCTGTGTATGTATTTATAGAAATTATTGGTCCTTACTTATAGAATTGATTGAGGGCAATGATAAGTATTTATTAGGAATTTCCTTTCCTAAATATATTGTATTCTATTTAAGAGCACAGGCTGCTCTAATCAATATAAGAAACATTATCTCTGTCAAAAACCAACACATATTTTCTAAGCATGGGTTTAAACACTTCATTCATGAGGCTTTGGAATGCGGAGGGTGCATTCATAAGGCCAAATGGCATTACTAGGAATTCATAGTGTCCCTCATGAGTACGAAAGGTTGTCTTGTATACATCTTCTTTGACCCTTACTTGATGATAACCAGATTTTAAATCCAATTTAGAGAAGAATCTAGCACCATGCAACTCATCTAACAACTCTTCTATAACAGGTATTGGGAATTTGTCAGGGATGGTTACCCTGTTTAGGGTCCTGTAATCTATGCACATGCGCCACGAACTGTCCTTCTTCTTCACCAATATTACCGGACTAGAGGAAGAGCTTGTGCTTTCCTGATTATTCCGGTAGCCAACATCTCTTTGATTTGCTTCTCAATCTCATCTTTGTGATGATGAGGATATCTATAGGGCCTTACGTTCACCAGACTTGTTCCTTCTACTAAATTAATGGCATGTTCCTTGCCTCTGATTGGAGGTAGCCCCTTAGGCTCTACGAACACCGAAGCAAAATTGTGTAATAACTGACCCAGCTTCTCCTTTTGTAGTTGAGACAAATGGCCCTCTTGTGCTCCACTCCCCTGCTTCTCTATACTTTCTAACTTCCTTTCTCTACACTGCTTAGGCTTCTCTAATATACTCTGCAGAGCCACCATGGACTCATTAGTGCTTCCTAAGCCTTGTAATGTAACCCACTCCTTATTACTCCAAAAACTCATGAGTTGTTTCTTCCAATTCATAATCATATCTCCAAGAGTATTCAGCCACTCTATTCCCAACACGACATCAATTCCGCCTAACTCAAACAGATGCATATCTGATTGAATTTCGAATCCTCCAATCTTCAATTCCACCTCCCTGCAAACTCCTTGAGTCATGGTTTGAAACCCATCACCCAACTTGATTCGCATTTGTGAGGTTTTCTCCATTGGCCAATCCAAGCACCGAAACTCCTTTGATCTCACCTTGGAATCGTATAACTTGGGGGTGTGATTAGCCATATGGTCCAAATGCATCAAACTCATCTCTCCTATCTCATCGTCTTCCGCCTCATTCACTTTGATCGCCAAAACTTGACCATCTAACTCCTCCGTATCACTGTCATCAACAAGAAGGATTCGGAGGTGTTTATCGGGGCATTAATGCGTAGGAGAGAAAGGCCCCTTACATTTGAAGCAAAGACCCTTCTGTTTTCTATCCATCAATTCCCGGTAGGATAAGTGTTGAAATCCACGATCACGAGGCCCATTCCTTCTCTTATATCCATGGGTTGTTTTTTCGTTTCTAAGCCCAACAGGATTGCTTTTAGAACCCCCATGCACTCCACCTTCTCTATTCTTCACTAAAACCCAATCTGAATTCCCTCGACCCGCTCCATGAGTTTCGGGTCGGTGTGACCCGCTTCCAGATCTAGGCCCCTTACTACTAGACGACCCATTTTCTCCATAGACCTCCTTCTCTACCGCACGAGTCACTTGTAACAATCTCGCGCGACTCATTTCCCTCATAGCTACGAAGCTGCGAACTCGACCTCAAATCTCCACCTTCAACCCGTGAAGAAAATACCCCAAAATTGCTTGTCAAGCATTTTCGGAATCTGAGCCATAAGATATTCAAATTCGGTGATGTATTCTTCCACCATCCCACTTTGTCTCAGCCCTGTTAATTGCTCATATACGTCACCGTCGCCGTGACCACCATATCTGGCCAACAGTGATTCCTTCAACTTCTCCCACGACAAACCTTCATCTTCTCCGACCAGAGAATTGAAGAAGTGAATCGTAGCTCCCTCCATACACAACTGAGCTGGATTCACCTTCAACTCCGGTAGCGTCCCCTGAACACGGAAATACACTTTAGCGCGTGAAATCCACCCTGCTGGATCTTCGCTGTTGAAGGACGACAGCTCCACTTTTTTTATGGATTGACGGAACTCTGTCAATGCATCACCACTGAGGTTGTGAAGCCCGGATCCGGAGGAATTCCCCTTCCCCGATGATCGTCCGCCTTTGTCATTCGCACTACCTTCTTCTTCCAGCATCGTCTTGTTTAGACACCGTTCAAACATGGCCATGTGACTCTCATGGCTAGTCTTCACCGCATTCTGGTCGTCTAACAACGTCAACTTCACCTCCAACATCTCGCCTTCCAACGCTGCTACCTTCGCATCCATCTTAACAAACTCCGAGTAGTTAACCTTTTTTGGGGGCATTCACTAGTTCCGGGAACGAGATCCGGTAGGTCGGACCAGTTTGATACGAACCAACAGGCAATAATCGATGTAGCAGTAAAACAGTTACGAAAATACGGAAAAGAAGCTTTATTGATGGAAAATGGAAACAAGTACAAAGAATGGAATGTGTCAATCCCAAAATGGGCCCAGAGCTACGCTCCTATAGGATACTAGAGTATCCTATTCATTCCTTCTAGATCTAGCTACAATCCAGAGATGATTATTCCCTCTACTGACTGCTCCTTATATTGTGGAAACGTACTGCTCCTTTCTTTCAAGCCACCCCATGATTGCTAACTAACTCAGCCTCCAATTCCCTTTTTACCCCTTCTAGAATATACTTTCCAAACTCTGGAACCACTAGAGGCATGATGAATTAATTGTCCTGGTAACTGTAAATTATTATCATTGTTTCTATCATAAACCATTTACCTTTACAAAGAGTAATGGGTAAGTCGATGAAAGAATCATGTGGGAACACAAGAGAAGGAATTGGAACAAGAGTTGAATCACTCAAGTCAGTGGCGACATTCTCTAAAAGTGAATCACTGGAATTAGTAGTATCGGTCTTTGGAGCTTCAATACGTCCGACGCTCATAAATCATGCAATGCAAGGTCACCTTGTGACAATGGAGAGCTCTGAGTAAAGACAATCATTTCAAAGAGAGAAATAGGTAGTAGCACCTAGGAAGTAGTGACGTGACTTTTAAACCTAATATAGTTGGTGATGCAAAGAATAATATATTCTCAAAGAAAACAACATATGTTGAAACATAAAAAGAGTGTAGATGGAGAATAATACTTATGTCCCTTTGGGACTATGGAATACCCTAAAAACACACACTTAACAGCTCGTGCAGATAATTTACCACAACAAGGAGAACGACTAAACAATACATAAAGAGTTCTAACACACGAAGAGGCACAGCATGCAAGGGAAACAAGAGTGTGGTAAAAAGAAATTGAAGGAGGAATGATCGATTAGACAGAAAAAGAACGAATCAGAAAACCAAAATTGAAGAAGAAACATATATGAATAGACAAGAGATGCAATGACAAAAAAAATGTTCGCAAGAAAATTGAACCAAGGAAAATGTGGAAGATCAAAACTGGAAAGGAGAAATTTGATTTACACATAAATGAAAATTAAACTAGAAAAATGGGAAATTGAAATAGCCAAGAATTGGATTTTCTTGAGAAAATGCGGCAGAATTTTCTTCAAGATGGATACCAAGATTCCACAGTGAGATACAGGCAATCAGTAGAATTGGCAAAATGGGCAATAAAGGCTGTAGTGGAAGCTTGTTGGGCAACCTTCAAATTACGAACTAATACTAACCTTGAACAGTGTTGCAGCAGAAGGGCGACCGGGAAAAAAATCAATCATCGGTTATCAAGAAACAGAAAATCAGGTCCAAGTTGTCAACAAAAAAAACAAATGTGACTGACAGCACAGTGAAACAGTGGTCAGAGGGTGCATTGTGTTGCATGAGAAGGAATCCAGTGACAATCCTCGAACGACCAGCTGGCTGACCACATCCGGACCAGATTAAAACTGAGGTTAGCCCCTTTGGCGGTGCTAAGCCCACAAGACATTATTTATTAAGAGTCCCACATTGGACAATATGTGGTATGAAAACACGTGTTTATAAGTAGGGGCAATCCCCATCTTACAAACCGGTTTTGTAAGGTTCAGTTAGGCCAAAATCTAATTATAAGATGGTATCAGAGTCATGTTCAAAATCTGTTGGGCCAGCTGCTATTAGGTTTCCGTTATTGGGTGACCTACCATTTATATCCAGACACCAAGCCTAATAGTGTTGGGCGAGTCCCACATCGGACAATATGTGACGTGAACATATGTTTCTAAATGGGAACAATACTCACCTTACAAGTTGGTTTTGTAGGAATGAGTTAGGCTCAACCCAAATTCTAAAAACTGTGGTTTTTCTTTCAAACTATGCTCTAGATATTGATACCAACATGAATTTGATCTAAATATTTCTCACTTAAATAACATGGATTATACAAGCACTTATTTATATTATATACATGAGAGATAAACTAACAGATTTGCGATCCTCTCGTGATCTTATAATTTTGGGATCAAATCAAATATCTCTTAAATAAGTTATAACTAGGAAAGCTAAAGATAAGGCAAGAATAATAACAAATCTAGTTACAAGCAATGACGTTTAAAAAAAAAAACATTACCATGATCATGTCTTCCATATCACGCCTCCAACCGCAAAGAAGTATTCTCTCTGGAGACTTTGGATAAACAAAATCCTTGGGTAAGCTTCCCCTCCATACCTGAAACCAACAGGGAAAGGGGGAAAGGAACCATATCATTAAATCTGCTTCCTCCATCCTCATTTAAAAATGGTTGATTTCTCTGGCTTTACAAAAGTAATCACTAGTAAACCTTGATAAACAAATTTGTTTTACTTAGTTTATCAATTTTGCTTTGCTTAAAGTCTACAATATACAATCATTATGTAGAAAAAAAACTTATATATTTCGAATTATGAATAAAGTAGATGCACTAGTATGTTAGATAGACTATGCTCTACCTATTGAGCGTGGCTAATAGCCTTAATACAATTATTATTAATAATTACAAATATACACTATGTACAACACTCCTTCTCAAGTTAGTGAACATATATCTATCATTCCCAATTTGGAAACAATCATTTCAAAATTGTTGTTGACCAGCCCCTTAATTAGAAAATCTACAATGTTGACTTGGGAGGAGACATATGAAGTGTAAATTAGGCCACTATCTAGTTTTTCATTGATGGAGTGCATTTCAACTTCAATATGTTCGGTTCTATCACGTTGTACTGGATTATGGCTTGTCTTGATAGCATATTTATTATCACAATATAGTCACATTGGTTCATCCCACTCTAAACTCAAGTTTTCCAAGATGATCTTCAGTCGTAGTGGTTTGCATATCCCTTTTGTCATTGCTATGAACTCAGCTTCAGCACTGGATCTAGATACCATACTTTATTTTCCATTCTTCCAAGTCACAAGATTCCCACCCAGAAAAGTGCAATATCATGTTGTAGGTCACCCTTCCACAACTGACACTGCATAGTCAGCATCAGTATATACTTCTAGCCCCACACTTCCATTATGTTTGAACAAAATTCCTCTATTTGGGGTTCCTTTCAAGTATTGCACAATTCATAGTGCAACTTGTAAATAAATATCTTTTGGTTGCTGCATGAATTGGTTTACTAAGCTTACAGTAAAGGCAAGATCGTGTCTAGTATTTGATAAGTATATAAATTTGTCAACTAGTCTTTGATTATGTTTTCTTTTCAACTGCAGTATCTTCTTATGCATTGTCCAACTTTAAATTTGGATTGATTGTTGTATATTGTTGAAGATTAGCACATATCAAATCATAATCATTTGATTCTGATTTGTCAAGCTGTTACAAAACAGTGGTGTAAATAGATTTATTATCTTTTATTCTGATTTCCTTATTTAGGTAGCAGCAATTATAGGAAATTATTTCTCTGTTTATTAACAAATTAGTGTAATGTATTCTATATATACCTCACAATGTAACAGTTCCAATATAATGAAATATACAACGTTTTTCTATATGGTATCAGAGCATAAGATCTGAACCATCCCTAAACCTTGAGCACCACCCATGGCAGATACTAAAGCAGAAAATTCAGCCAACAGTTTGGCCGAAGGACATGCTCTTCCTATCACTGGTCACAAACTGAATGGCCAGAATTACAATCAATGGGTGCGCTCAGTCAAAATCTACCTTCAAGGAAAAGGGAAGGAAGGTTATATCACAGGAGACTCCAAGTGTCCAAAAAAGGGGGATTTCAACCTTGAAAAATGGCAACTAGAAAACAGTCTAGTAATGTCATGGCTGCTAAACACCATGACAAATGAAATTGGAGAAAATTGCCAAAGAGATGTGGGATGCCGTAAAGGAAACCTACTCTAATGTCGACAATACATCTGCAATATTTGAAATCAAGAGCATACTCCATGACTTGCGTCAAGAAGACCGCTCAGTCACAGAGTATTTTAATACTCTCAATTGTCACTGGCAGCAACTGGATGTATATGATGAAGCTGAATGGAGCTGCACAGAGGATAAAAAGAAGTACAAAGAATTGGTGGAGAAAGATAGAATCTACAAATTTCTCTTAGGTTTGAATACAGAACTTGATGAAGTTCGTGGGAGAATCCTTGGAACCAAACCTCTTCCAAAAATTCGAGAAGCATTCTCGGAAATACGAAGAGAGGAAAGCAGGAGAAAAGTGATGCTTGGAAAATCCAGTGCAGCCCCATCTATAGAAGGATCTGCAATGGCAGCAAGGGGAGATCATCGATCTTTCCAAAAGAAAACACGGCCATGGTGTGACCACTGCAAGAAACCGGGTCATACCAAAGACACATGTTGGATCATTCATCGAAAGCCATCAGAGCTAAAATGGAGCAAAAACCGGGACAGCAGAGGGAACACAGCTGAGGTAAATTCTCACTCATCACCATTCAACAAGGAGCAAATGAAAGCCTTACAAAAACTGCTTCAACAAACAATTGGTACAGCTACTGTGGCACAAAAAGGTAATTTTTTGCATGCTCTAAACACTAGCAGGGGAAAACAAAAATCATGGATTATTGACTCAGGAGCATCTGATCACATGACTGGAGATTTGACTGTCTTTGATAGCTATTCTCCATGTCAAAATAATTCGACTGTTCGAATTGCTGATGGTACCCTTTCTAAGGTCATGGGTAAAGGTTCAGTCATTATTTCGCAAAATATTACTCTTAGTTCAGTACTGTATGTGCCTAAACTTGATTGTAACTTGTTGTCCATAAGTAAACTTACAAAGGATTTGAAGTGTATCACTAAATTCTTTCCTAACCTGTGTGAATTTCAGATTTTGGAGTCGGGGAGGACGATTGGCAATGCTAAAGAATGTGCTGGACTCTATATCCTTCAGGCTGAAGCATCTAAACCAGAATTCGAGGCAACCTCTTGTGCTGTAGTTTCTGCATGTAGTGAAAATTCTGCAATGCTGTGGCACTATAGACTAGGCCACCCAAATTTTATGTACTTGGAAAAAATGCTTCCTAAACTATTCAATAAAAATCAGAAGTTGTTTCAATGTGAAATTTGTCAATTGTCCAAACATACACGCAGCCCCCACCCACCTCAACCCTATAAACCTTCCCAACCTTTTTATGTTATTCATAGTGATGTATGGGGACCATCGCGGGTCAGAAATGTAACTGGAGCAAGATGGTTTGTCACATTTATTGATGACCACACACGGATCACTTGGGTCTACCTTATGAAAGATAAATCGGAAGTTGGTAGGATATTTGAATGTTTCCATACCATGGGCAAACACAATTTCAAAGCAAAATTAGAGTGCTTAGGAGTGATAATGGTCGTGAGTACTATAATTCTGCACTAAGCTCATACTTTACGCAACATGGAATAATACACCAAACCTCATGTGTGGATACACCTCAGCAGAACGGGGTTGCCGAGAGAAAGAATAGACACCTCCTAGAAGTAACCCGATCTCTCATGCTAGCTACAAATGTACCTAACCAGTTTTGGGGAGAAGCTGTCCTCTCTGCAACCTATCTAATAAACAGAATGCCTTCCCGAATCCTTAACTTTCATACGCCTTACTCCACTCTCCAAACCTTATACCCAACCAATCGTATTCTTACATCTATTCCTTTGAAAATATTTGGATGCACAACCTTTGTCCATAATCTTGATCCCCAACGCAGTAAACTTGACCCGAAATCCATTAAATGCATATTCCTCGGCTACTCTCCTCACCAAAAGGGATACAAATGTTATTCACCTCAAAACAAAAAATTCTACCACACCATGGATGTAACCTTTTTTGAGAATCAGCCATATTACCCCAAAGTTGGCATTCAGGGGGAGAACACATATCCAATTGAAGTGGTAGAATCCCAACTTTTGGAACTTGAGCTAACTGAACCTAAACTCACTGCAGAGGCATCAAAACCTACACCTGAACCAAATGAAAATGCAACAGAAACTGCAAAACTTACATGTGGACCAGAAGAAACTACGTTAGAAAATACAGAGGAAATTGCAGTAGAAACTGCAGCCCCTATAACAGAAACTGCACCAGGAAACAACATGAAAGTGTACTCCAGGAAGAACAAGAAGGGAATAGAGTCCTGCACAACTCCAAGGCAGAACCAAGAAACCTCCAAGACTCCAGAAAATGGCGTTCCCTCAGGTAATACTGCTCCTAACTCTGTGAATGTTGATATTGATATTCCTATTGCGTTGAGAAAAAATGTAAGATCCTGTACCAAACATCCCATTGAAAGATTTGTATCTTATGGAAAATTGTCCCAAAGTTACAAGATTTTTGTAACAGCTCTTGACAATACACATATTCCAAGCAACATCCATGAGGCACTCCAAAATTCTGAATGGGCAGCAGCTGTAACGGAAGAGGTTCAGGCTTTAATTAAGAATGGCACTTGGGAAATCACAAGCCTACCTGCAGGGAAGAAGCCGGTAGGATGCAAATGGATATTCTCCATGAAGTATAATGCAAATGGGAGTGTAAATCGGTACAAAGCTCGACTTGTAGCAAAGGGATTTACTCAATCATATGGAGTAGATTATGAAGAGACTTTTGCACCGGTGGCAAAACTAAACTCCGTTAGAGTTATTCTCTCTTTGGCTGCAAATTTAGATTGGCCACTCCATCAACTAGACATCAAGAATGCCTTCTTAAATGGTGACCTAGAAGAGGAAGTTTATATGCAGATTCCTCCTGGACTCGAATCATCCAGCACCGCAAATATGGTGTGCAGGCTCCGAAAATCCCTTTATGGCCTCAAGCAGTCCCCAAGGGCGTGGTTTGATAGATTGACTCGAGTTGTCAAGAAAGACGGGTTCAACCAATGCCAATCAGATCACACTATGTTTGTTAAACACTCCATGGAAGGAAAGGTAGCTTTGTTTATTGTTTATGTGGATGATATCGTTATTACAGGAAATGATTATGATCAAATTGATCATTTAAAGGGGCTCTTGGCAAAGGAATTTGAAGTTAAGGACTTGGGACAACTTAAGTATTTTTTAGGGATGGAAGTTGCTCGAACAAAGGATGGTATCTATGTATCACAAAGGAAATACACCCTTGACTTACTTCAAGAAACTGGAATGCTTGGGTGCAAGGCAGCTAATACACCAATAGAACAAATAAAAGGAAGAGAAGATGAAAGTCCACCAGCCGACAAAGATA